TGGCAATCTAGCGTAGTGGTTGACGTACCGAGACTACACGCTGCAGTGTCATGGTTCGAGTCCCACTGAAGGTGTTGAAAAAACTCCTCATCCATCCTGGATAAGAACACTTGTTTGGAAATCAAGGCTATGCGAAATTGAATGGAAATGTTATGCTATCATTGCTAAAAGTCAGGATAAACTGAAGCAGTGATTTGGAGGAAATGATGTTCAGGCCCCTATTTTGGTAGGGGCACAAAAACGAGACCTCAAGTCGTTTTCGAAACTTGCGTGCGGAAAAATTCAAGTACCAGTCTCCTTATCAACCTAAACGAAATAGAATTAATATATTTCATATGCATTTCTATCTAACTGCCCGCCTGTCTGTCTGTCTGTCTGTCGGTCAGTAATTGTATCTTTATGTATGTGTGCATATTGTTTGGATCCAAGTGCTGGCTTGCAGACGGGTCGAGTGGCCGTAGTGACATGCGTTCAGGTGACAAACAATGTCTGGAAAACCTGCTTATAAAGGAAAGAACAGACCACTTGTTTTTGCAATCTCCTTCTTGCGCGGAGGCAAACTTGTTTTGACTGTCTTTCCTCGCCGCTTCGGATTGGCTGGCTCCGTTTCAGCGCCATTCCGGCACAATTCTAATTAATTCGAAGATGCAGCAGGAACAAGGTCAAACAACTGCTTCGATAGGACACGGACGAGTGGGGCCGGACATTAAAAGATGTGGTAATTCGAAGATGAGGCAAGATTAGGAGAAAATCAGCAGCAAAGAGTCGTCACAAATTGATGAGTCTAAAGCGAAAGCAGAAGAAAACACAATCAGAAGAGCACATTTATGAAAGGTTAAACTAATCAGCTCTCCATAATCTCCGTGAAAACTTGCAAATTATTGGCGCCCACTTTCTCATTCTATTTCGGAACTTTTTTACCACTTTCTTCACATACACTTCCGATGGTATCCTTCTTATATTTCACCCCTTCTTCTCTAACTCCATCACATGCTTATCCCATCCTCCTCATAATTCTCCTCTTTTAATTATCCCCCAATTTCTTTTCGTTCTCATTCTCATTCTCGTCTTGCTCCACCCCTCAACGATCTTCATAATGCTTCGCAAGCTACTCATTTTTTCCCTTTTTCCCAATGCTTTTGCGCCTCCTCCTCCTCGGCCTCCACTTCGCGCTGCCCTATTTCAACCACTTACTCTTATTCTCTCCTACTTAACATTCTCTATATTATTCTCATCTCCTCATCTTCCTTTTTTTTCCTTTTATTCTTTCCATTCAGCTTTCTCTTCCTCTTAATTCCTTTCTTATTTTCAACTAATTTCCTCCTATTCCTCTATCCTATTTTGGACCCGTGCCAATAAAATTAACTTCATTTTTCGAGGCTTCCAGTAAATTAAATTTTCACCCAATTTCATTTAATGCGCTGAAGGACTGATAGTTGATTTTTCCCACGACGACACGAGTAGAGCTGACGTATCCATTCAATTTCACATGGCCTTGCTTTCCCAAAAGGTGCTCTCATTCCGGCTGCAGTTGACTGCCTCGTTTGTGTCTTATTAATACCCCAAGCGGGACTCGAACCATGACCGTGCAGCGTGTAAGTTTGACACGTCAACCACTCGGCCTTTGGGTGACAGGGCAGATGTGAATTTCAGCGATTGTCAGGCATTTTTCATATCACATTCTGTGTTGGGATTGTCGATGAAACAAACTTATGCTTGCAGGGCTCTGTGAAATGTAATCATGATCAGATTGTATGAAAATGTAACTACCAGTCCTTCACGACGTTAAACGAAATGGGGTGAAAACAGCTCAGCTTTCCGATACAATTGATGTGTGATTTTGCCCTTATCCTCCAATGGCAGACTGGCTTGTTATCCTTTTTCGAGCCGTTTTGTCCGTATTTGTCGTCTCGTGGGTGGAGATTTGTTTACCAAGACACGAATCCTACCGGTGGGCTCCATCTCTCGTCTTCCTCTCCACAGTCTACCGGCTTCTGCCAGTTTACGCCTCTTTCTGGCGCCAACTGGACCCGCTCATGTTGACAT